AGAGGGTTTTGAATTCCCTTCTAGCACTCTTGAATTTCTCCAGTGATTAACAGAATACTTCTATTTCATATGCAGGACTGTGCATTTTACTCCTGAGAGAGATATTTTGCTTTTAAGCGTGGCTGCTGTGCAACTGTGTACATGCAGAAACACACCAGGGAAGTGGTTTGGGTTTCCTGCTCCGAGGGAAGTATGTCGGCAGGAAAGTGCTGTCTGTTCAAAACGTACAGTTACTGGGTTGACAGTACTGTAAATACTCCTCCAGCTGCTGGCTCAAAAGAGTGGTTTTGTTCAGGCTGTGTAATTAGCACCCGTATTCAAATATCTGCATATGTGCGATTTAATTTCTTTTTAGCTTGAGCTGAAAAAGTATTTTTGACTCTGGCCTGAGGGCCTATATAAAACTTAAGCTAATTAAGTGAATAAACAAGCTAGATAGCACCTCAGATATAATTTAGTGCGGTTAGTCAGTTGTGCAACACAATTACTTATGACTTTATTGTTTTCTGTCTTTATAGCAAAGAAATATTTTTTTATGTGTCCCTTAGAGTGCAAGTAAGTTACCATTCTGTCAAACTGAGTGCACTGAGTTTCATAATAGACTTATGAAAATTGAAGGTGTTTAAAATGTGCATGCATTTCTTTTGGTTTCTTGGAAAACATGATATTCTTAGTTAATATAATGTCCTAGGTATAGCTGATTCATCAAGTACAGGACCTGTACATGATCTGTCTGTTTACATTGGTGTAACCCCACAAAATTAAAACAACATGATGAGAATTGATGCTGTTTATACCTCGTGTCCCAGCTTATGAACGTTCTCATTGATTTGAATGGCAAATTTTGTCTTCACTTTCAAAAACATGCTACTGTATATGTTTAGAAATTGTGTGCCTTATGCAGCTTAAATGAGAAATTGCTTTTAGTGAGGGACTTGCTTTAGACATGGTACAGCATGCTCTGGTTTTGCAGGGTGCTCTGTTCCTTTAAAGCCGTGCAATTCTGTAGGTGTTTACTTGCTTAGGTTTTCATATGAAATTTTCCATCAGTTCTTAACAAATGCTGATTATTCACAGGAGTCAGTGTGGTGAATATTTGTGTTTATGTAGTTGCTCATGTTAAAGAAAAATTCTACCAGATGTGAGTTACCCTAGGTTTGCTTTATTGCAGTGCTGGATGCACGGGGGAAATAGCTCCACCAAAGGTGCATCCAGCGCTGCAATAAAGCAAACCTAGGGAAACTCACGTCTGGTAGAATTTTTCTTTAACAGCTCATATTTTTCTATGTGAGTTACTACTCTATTTTAGCATTTTGATATCTCCAGGGAAGTTACAAGAATAAGGTCTTGATTAGTTTTTAAACCTTTGGTTGTGCTAGTAAGTATTTTAAAGTTATGAACAGGCTCACTTGTTGCTGATTTTGTTTTTTAAAGGAAAGGTTTTGTTTATGTAGTCATTTTGACAAGTCGTTTTTTAATATGTTACAGTATGCATTGTGTAACGCAGTGCATTATCAGCAGTCTAGTTACTAAGAATTGATCAAAACTAAGGAAATCATACCCGAAAAGTCGGGCACTTCCAATCTAACTGTACAATTTGATGACTGTGACAATTTATGCTTATTGTATTAAAGAATATTAGTTCCTTTGTTGATGTGAAAGGCCAAGGGTTTCATGCTTCAAGAAGTCAAATTGTTAACGCATTTAACTGTTGTCAGTAAATCAAATGGATTTTTTGAGTTCATTTCTCTTGATGGTTCTTTAGATGCCCCTACTTTCCTTGCTATGGTTGGTATTTTTTCTTCTGTCAGTGCATCTTCAGCATAAGGTACTCAGAGCAGGATTATTCATGTTTCTATTCAACTGCAAGGGTTAGAAACTTCCTTTGTTTTTTTAAAGATACCTGAGTTTCTTATTTCATCTATGGGCAACCAGATTTGGGGCTTTAAGAAAAAAAATACAAATATTGTAAAATTCAGAGCTTAACAGCTGGGCTTTTACAATTAAAATAAAGATCTTAACAATATTGTCTCATTCTCTGGAAACAGCCTACTGGGAACCGGTAATGAAGAGCAAATCCATGCATACCGTAGTGGTGTATTACTGTGCTAACCAGGGCAGTCTCACAATCAGTTTGGAGCAAAATAATTATCCTAAAATGACTATTCATTGCACAATTTTGGGATTTTACAAATTTTACATTAATTTACATATTTAGATGATGTCTGTAGCACTTCCTTGCATACCTTTTTATGGTTTTGGCATTAGCACAAGGCTTCAGTAACTCTAATTTTGCTGTCTTTGCTGATGCTGCAGAAGTACTCAATATGTACTTTGATATTCCCATTTGAAACCTAATTAAAACATTTTCGTGTATTTGATCCTGAACAATGGAGTTAATCGTATGCCTAAAAAGTGTCAATCCTTTGCTGATGTTTAAACATTATGAAGTTTTATTTTCAGCACGCTGGCAAAAATTCTAGAAACGGGGATATTTTAGATTGGTGTATATATAAGAATTTTAGTGTATAGAGAGATGAGTGTAGATAGAATTTCTTGGCTTCTTTGTCCATCTTTCCTTGAGAACACATACTATTTGAAAGAGGAGTTTGGAATCTGGTTTGCCGTAAATACTAATTATATTCTTGGTGTGGGTTCTTGCTTTCGTAGTCGCGATAACTGTTGCTTTGTGCTTAGCGGGACAGCTCACAGCAGTTATTGTAGAGAGTAATGAATGATGTTTATTTGTGCTGTACGGTTGACCACATCTGGGGGTGAGAACACGCTGGCAGCTAATTGGCCTGGCAAATGATCAGGCTGCTACAAAACAGGATCTTGTGTTCGGCAGAAAAATAAAATCACAAGGAACTGTCATCCCTTGCTCCTTACTGATGGTTTCTAGTGGAGGTGACAAACATTAGCAGTGGATATGATGTGGAGATCTACTCTGTCACGTGCGTTTCTTTCATTGAATGCCTCGAATCATTTTGCAGTTATTAACTCCTTGGGACTTAATCTCATACCCAGCGATCTGTGTTACTTACTAGTTTGTAGAGTTGTGTCCATCTGCGTTTGCTCTCCTTTTTGTCCTGGAATACTTGCATACTTGACTTTTGAACTGATCACATTAGTGAACATTAAGGACAAATAGCCCTGCCTGGAAGTCAGTGTTGTGTTGTTTGGCATTGAGTAATTTCCTGGAAGTACGGCTGATGCTGCTCCTAGTTAAGATCTCAGACCTTTAGATTTCTTTAAGCTTGGAGGAGCTAGAATCATGAAAAATGAAGGAATTGCAATAATTCTGTGATGAGGGGACAGCAAAGATCACAATTTGCATTTTTATGTCTTACTGCTTTGTAGTTTAGCTCCCTCCCACGGAGACTGAGCCTTGCAGCTACTCTCCTTCCCCAGCAGACCGCTTTGTGCCCGTGCTGGAACCGAGCGGTTGCCTTTCCTCCAGCCTTAGTAGCGCAAGTAGTAGGGAAGAGTAGTAAAGGCTGGTCATTACTCACAAACCGAGGAGTACTTTTAAGTGGGACAAAGCAAAAAGAATAGGGGAAGAAATAGCATCTTTTGGACTGATGGCAAAGCAATTGCTTCAAAAGGTTGCAAGGATGAGAGTGGCAGCCTGCCAAGGAGGTACCCTTCCCTCCCCTTCCCGCGGCCGCTCCCTGTTCATGTTAACAAGAAGGAAGAATAAAGTTCATCTGTCCTGCTAAATCATTTTGTGGACAGTGAGGTTTTAAAATAGAGAGGGCTTTGATAGTATTTGAATATCTGTGTTTAAAATGACTGGATCAACAGGTCCAAATAACACGGCAAATTTGTGGTGTTAACCAGCCGTGTGATGGAGAATAGCTTTAGGAGGCGTTTGGTCCTTTTTAGTTTTGAAAAGCAGTTTGCAGCATCTGATGCAGCAAAGTACACCTGCTAAGCATGAAGGTTATGCTATTGATTTCTAAGCTAGGTAGAAGTATGTTCCTAGCTCCCTCCCTTGTATAACTGCACAGAACATCTGTCAGGACATAACAGATCCTATCACAAATAAGCATGGCCATAGTATCATTTGTTTTTCATCTGTACAAACTTTGCTTGTATCTGAATGGGTTCTCTGAAATAATTTTTTGAAAAATTTTGCCTTTTCCTTCTACTTAAAACAACTTTATTTATTTTCTGAAGAGCACGTGTGTATTGTTTATTTTACCTTTTGAATGTATTTTGAAAAATAGGCAAATCAAAGGACAGTTGAATTCATATTTTACTGGATGAGCTAAGAAAATGTAAATTAAATAAGCCTTTAGCTTTTTTGCCTGCTCTGAGTTCTCTGTGATGTTATTGAGCAGACTAGATGCCTTGCAAGCTTGTTGTAAGCAACATGTGGAAAAAGAGGTGCCCTATCCTATTATTTGGTTGATCCTCAAAAAACAATGAAAAAAATGTCATGCTTATGTAATCAGGAATTTGATGCTGTAAAAAGAGAAGGGAAAATAGCCTAAAAGCTTGCTATGGGATTACAGTTGTTTTTAGCACTTGACGGTTAAGCGTCTTTTAGTGTTGTGTCTCTGAACTCTCATAACCAATAATTTAGCTGCTAATTCAATTGTGTGATGATTGATTGCTGTGAACAATTCCTTGAAGAGCACTACAAATTTCTTCTGTGTTTCACTATTCACTGTAGTGGTTTTTACTCCCTCTGTTACTTTGTGTGTTGGCACGCAGTGATATGTGTAATAAATATGTACCAAAATGGTGTATACATAGAAAATGGGAAACAACACACATTTGCTAGAAAACTCTTTGGAGCACGCTTTTAGATGTAGAAGGCTGTGCTGATCCTCTGTTTTGCTGCTGAACTTCGACTGTTATTTTCCTTTTGCCAAAAGTACAAAAATGTATAATGAACAGATTAAGATGAGATTATTTTTTCTCTCTAACAGCACTATTCTATTTATAACTGTAAATCTTTTTTTTCCCCCCCTCCTCCCTCGCATCTGTAACAGCTAGCCGATGGCGGAACCTCTTCTCTACACCTGTCTCCTTGGCTTTTCCCTATAGTCCTGTTGCGAGACTCACCCCGTATACCAATGGCTTTAATAGTCCCAGCTTCTCTAAAACCTCCAGTAAAGCAATACTAACACCTGAACGGACAGGTAATGCTTATCTTTTTATTGATTTACAGTGCTTACAAAGTTGCTTAATTTAATCTCATCTTGCTAGCATTTAACAATAATACACTGTTCAGATGATTGTATATAGACTCATCACAGAGGGAGATTATTTATTTTTTTTAATTACCTAAAATTTAGCAATTAACTAACAGTGTAGGTTATCTTCTATGTTACGCAGCATGTTATAGGAAAGTGGTGCTAGTAAACAGATCCTATTTCTCAGTAATGGTTTACCTGACTGTGTCAGCTTGATCAGTCCCCAGCTTTGCCTGCCCTTTACTGCTCATTTCTACCCCACCATGCCCCTTCCTTATGTCCACAGAAACATTTGTGCAGCTGTGTAATGACGTTGCAGGGAGAACTTACCTATTAGAAAAAGAGCCAGCAGAATTATGGCTGTTTTCAAGCTGGCATTGTTGGTACCATCCAAATATTATTTTATGTCAGTGATTTTCAGAGGACACAGGAGCTTCAGGAAAAATACAAACTTTCTATGGGTTGTAAATTGCGAAGAGTTGCATTTTTCCTTCTTCGCTACAGGTATCAGGAGTTAATTTATATCTGTGATTTCTCTCAAGGTGCAGTGGCAGTGGAGAAAACAATCTTCTGGGGAAGAGACATTAACATTTTATTGCTGGCACGACCAGGTGTGGTCTAAGGAAGTTAGCATTAGTGTCACACTGATCTGTGTGCAATTTTATTTGCAACACATGAAATCGGTGCAGAAGGCCCTGTTAGAGATATGGGTGCTGTGGGTGAGATAGATACAGCTCCAGACCGAACGCCTGGTGTAGGTGTCTGTGTGAGATGTCTAAACTCCCCTATTCGATGGGGTGTAGTTTAGTCCCTAATCGAAGGCATCTCATGCTGTTTGAGATACCCTCAGGTATCTTGTGTAGTTTCCCACTGCTGCTGCAAAAGGGCACAGCTGTTACCACCTCTGCAAAACCTCAAGGACGATTGTAACTTGCAAATTGAAAATAGCAAACGTTTACTCCTTACAGTCCTTCCAAAGCTAAGTAATCCCTTGCGTGTCCTTTTCTGTTGGAAGTATTGTTAGAGAACAGCTGAATTTAGGATGAATGTTAGGTGGCTGCTTTGAGCAGCGCTAGAGGATGCAAACACATCTGTGGTACAAGCACAACCGATGGATGAGCCATCGTCACAGCGGTTCTCGCCCCACAGGCTGTGGGCCTCTGGCGGTCCAGAAGATATTACAAAGTGATTTATGGTTTTATTTGAAGAATTTTTCTTTAAAGTTGGGCAGCAACTAGCTCGTACAACTAATTGCAATTTAGTTTATATTGTACTATCATGGAGGGAAAAAGAATCCAGGACCCTCTCCAAAAGGTAGCTCAGTGAAGGAGGCAATGCTTTCTCTGTTATTGCATAATGTTCAGTCTTAATTTGTTATAATCATTGTTATAATCATTGATTTATCTATAGTAATACTATAGATTACTATTGATTTATCTAATTACTATAAATAATTTTAAAAAACAGTGAAATTTAGATAAATGGCTCTGATGTGGAATCTGAGTACTGAGCAGAAGTTGGTGACACATAAACACTTGATTTTTCAGGGCAGAATAGTGAGAACCACAGTCCCATAAGAAGGATTCAAATGCAGATGCGTTTAGACTACACTAACTAATCTGAGCTGTATCAGAACTGTACTGGGTAAATTATTCATTGTCTGGGCTATGTGATGCTATTTTGGGAACAAGCAGAGGAATTCATGATCTGTTACTACACTTACTTCTCATGAGTCTCAAACCCCTTTGCTAATTGTTAGTGGATTGCACTACACATCTGAAAAATTCTCAGTTGTACGGAACGCATTTTAAGCTACTGTAACATAAGGGGAAGATAGTTGTGAATGAAAGATAGCCAGACGTATTCACAGACTAAAGGTTATGTTTTTTCACATAGGTTACATTTCTAGGAGTTCACCTTTGAGCCCACAGTCATCAATAGACAGTGAACTGAGCACCTCGGAGCTGGAGGATGATTCCATCTCCATGGGATACAAGCTGCAGGACCTCACCGATGTTCAGATCATGGCTCGTCTACAGGAGGAGAGTAGGTGGCTTTTTTCATTTTTCAAAATAGTCTGAGGAAGATTTCCCATAACAGCCAAAACTGCTCCAGTCTGGTGTCAGTCAAGTGGATCTTTCTTAAATGAAGTCACCTCTTGGGTGGCAAGTGGAAAAACTCTTCACCTGCAAAGAGAAGGTGTGCACATTGTTGGATTCAGGTTAATGGTACTGGATCTTTCAAAACTTTTTCTGAATCCTAACTGGTAGCTCCATACCTGTTGAGTACATTTAGGTTTAGAAGGTTTATACTGTCTCCCCAAATGAATTAAAATTATTTTATTTCTGGGGAGGGAAGATGCTAAAGCATTTTTTTCATGCTTACATTTCATCAGAAAGCTAAAAATAAGCAGCTCTCATGAATTTCGTTGCCTCTACTTTGATTTTCTTAATTGTCAGATTAATTTTGAAATTAATTTCCCTTTAAATTGGGGTATTTAAATTTAACATTTTGGTTTGAGACTAATGATTATGCACAAAGCTGAGTCCAGAAGCTCGTTTGACATAGATTATAGTTTGGCTTGATAGTAATTTTTGGAAAATGTCTTTATTCATAAATAAAGGCCATTTGACTTAGAAGTCACTCAGACAGTAAGTGCTGTATCTTTCTCACTTCCTGTTAGTGCCAAGTGAGACAACAAGGAGGAAATGATGAGATGAAAAACAAGAGAAATTCAGAGATAATGACTGAAGGAAAATGCAAAGTATTAAGGGACTAAATGAAAGACAGAAAAAATGTGAAGAAGAAATTAAAGCTGTGGTCTGGCTGCAGCAACCAGACCAAGCAGGTCGACGTGATCACTTCTCAGCAGTCAAATTTGCTGAGCATCTGGTAGCACTCGTTATGTTCAGCGTAAAAATTAGCAAGTGTGAGACTTTCCAAGATAACTGAATTCTCAGCTGGCAAATATGTGTGGTCACAGCTTGGAAAATTTCTGATATTATGTGAAAGTTATAATAATTAAAAAAGAATTTATGACTATCAGATACAAAGGGTTACATTGCTTTAATGACAGCTGTGCCCATCTTCAGAATGAGGTTTATAAAAGGCTTCACGTACTTAGCTCTTTAAGGAAAAACACTGTTTTTCTTACAATCATTACACCTGACATAGATTAGATCTCATCCTTGTAGTAGTAGCTGGTACAGAATGTTTGAGCACATGATGTTTTTTGTCCACTTAATCCTGGGGAAAGTGGTAGTATTATACGTGCGTGTTGGCATACTCCCTTCGCCACAAATAGAAACTCCCACTCGAGTCGGGGGGGGAAAAGCATATTAAGAAGTTTTCATTATGAAGCAAAGACATCTGTCAAAGCTGAGGGATTTTTGTAAATCTAGGAAAGTTGTTATCTGTAGCTGTTGGGAGTTACTTGTCCCCGGGCAATGCGATGCACATCCCCTTTGTCCTTTGCTACTGTGCAGCTGTAAAGGGGGGATGTACAAGGGACGTGGATGTTACCACGTGGTAGGTGGTAGGATGCGTACCTGTCAAAAAAACAGCAGTGTTACCACTAAGCCTTGTCCATGAGACCTGCTGCTAGCAGGAACTAATTCTGGTTCAGGGAGGTTGGAGAGCCAGAATATTTACATGGGTTATAAGTTTAGGAAATGTCATTGCCAGCATTTTCATTGCATGTACATAGAGGTTTAATAGCAATAACTTGGAAAACTAAGAGTGAGTGTTAATTCCTCTAATTAAGAGTGTTTAAAAGTTAAAAACTTAATACTCATGCCATCTTTCTATTGGCAGAGAAACAGGTGCCTCCTGAAGGCAATTCATCTTATGTTGAGAGGCATCTAAGACATCTCACAGGTACTGCGTTTTGGAGATGCCTGTATTCTTTTTTTTAATTTTTTATTAAAAAGAGATCTCGAGGGAAATAATTCAGGCTTAGATGCCTGAAAGGTAGACACCAAAAGTTAGATCCAATGAATCCTACCTTCAGCCTAGTGACATTGTAAATCCAGTTCTTGCTGTAAAGTTATGTTTGCTTACATGCTTACTTTTCAAGATTGAAGTGCATGTTAAGAGTTAATCACTCATCAGAAGCCAAATCATCCTCTTCTTGGAATTTACAGGCCTTAGGCAAGATTATGCTTCGACTTCAGCATCTGTGTCAAGGCACAGTTCGAGCATCTCTCTGCATGCGGGAAAGAAAGGGACGTGCGGTGACCAGGAATACGATCGTTATAGTCTTGAGGACGAGGAAGAATTTGACCACCTCCCGCCTCCGCAGCCGCGGCTGACTCGCTGCTCCCCCTTCCAGAGAGGGATTCCTCACTCACAGACTTTCTCCAGTATCCGGGACTGCAGGAGGAGCCCTACCTCCCCGCACTTCCCTTCCAGCACTTATCAGCAGCCCTACTACTCTCCTCAAGCCCAAACTCCAGAGCAGCAACCAAATAGGATTAATGGAGGTGGGTTACACACTTTTTCGAGATGTCTTTTCTCTGCGCAAAGCGCCAGTGCCATTTTAAAGATCAAGTTGTGTTGACGGAGTGAAGTGTGTTTAGTGTACGACAGCTAGATCAGTCCATGAATTGTGACAAGCAATTTAAGCCTGTGCAAATGATCGAGGTATGTTATTGTTAAGTAACTTGCTACAAAATGTCATGCTACCTGGTCATGAAAATTGTTGCTTTAGTCTGTTTGCAAGTGCTGCAAGGATGACCACAAGTGAAGAAAGAAGAAAAAAGAAAGAGTAGCACCTTTTAGCAGGCTAATAGTTGGTTAGAAGAACTGTTCAGGCTTTCGAGCTTGGCCTGTGCATGTCCATCATGGATACAGTAAGATACAAAATAGGGTTTTCAGATTTTCCTTCCCTTTCTTATTCCTGACTTTGCTGTTAATGCAGCTATGCTTTGAATCTGCAAGGAGTCCTTATGGCAGGGGTCACCACTCTGCTCCTGTTCCAGGTCTGGTAGAGCGGGGCAGACTGTTAAAGCAGTGGGAGATAACGTCACTCCCAAACTATTCTGAACATTGCTGCTTTTTGCACTGTGTTTGAGAGATATTCCAGAGTCCCTGGAAGATCTGTCTCTTGGTGCTTGCTCAAGTTTCCCTCTGTTGTTGCTGTTACCTCTCCTTTCATTCCTTATTATGATCACAATTTTCCTCTTCCTGCTGCATCTTACTTTCCTATTCCTTCATTTTTTTCCCCAAGCTAATTCAAAACAGTTTTCAGTCAGGATCTTGTTTGTAACGTTACAGGTTACAGTTCACCCTTGGGCAAGAAAATAAATGTGGTGTTCAAAACAGTTGTTATTTATAGAGTGCTACAGGTATGCATGTGGCTTTCCTGACAAATAAGACATGACAGGTTGGTGCCAAAAGCACTCGCATTCAAAGACAGACATGGCGTGGAAGTGTAATCGACAAGTGGCAGTATGTAAAGACGGCTGAAGTTCACAGACGGTACCGCGACATGGGTGTTTGTTGGTACGGTGTATGTGCCGTATTAATTTCAATGTTATTTTTCTTGCCAGTGAGGTACAAGAATGGGACAGCATTGCTGGGCTTGCGGAAATATTGGGGAGATAGAAAGGAAGGTTAGGGGGCAGTTTTGATTCAGGAATAAGGGCGGGATGTGGTGCTCGATGTTTTTGGTTTTTTTTTATGGTCCTCAAATACTTTTTCAATTATTTTTTTGTGTTCTGTGTCAGTGGAACTTAAGCATTGGATTCCCAGCTGGAAACCTCAGTACTTACAGGGCACTAAAAATACTAGGCTCCGAGATTATTAACTAGAAAGTGTATAAACATGAAAGGCCACCAATTTTACCACCTGGTTGCTTTTTTTCTCAAGAACTTAGTGTCGGATAATCTTTTTGGTGTCACTCAGAACGTGGACACACACAACTTCAGTTACCTGTTTGCTGGGATGGCAGGCAGTCCTATAATAGTCAGTAGCACTATTTTTACAGGGGAATTATCTCTTTAGCTTCTGCACCTTCAGACTGTGACTCATGCAGCACTCATCCACATAAGTGGCAAATACTGATGGTGAGAAATGTTTTACTTTGGCTGTGTTCTGATGGCAGACAAGGAGTCAAGTGTTCGCTGAATTGAGTATGTCTGAGTAGTGTTACGACAACATCTTCTCATCGGCACTTCTCATCATCTTGGCAACAATTTCATTGTCTTTCAGGAACTTCTACGCGTCGAGATTGAGGTAGACTGCAGAATAAGAATTTGTCTGAAGCCCAATATGATGGACAGTGTGTTTCTGCACTGTTGCAGTTATCCAAGGCAAATGAGGAAGAGGGGTATGATAATGGGGCTAAACTGTTCAGTTACAGCTTTCAATATATGTGGAAATCATCATCCATAATTAATGAAAATCACACATGCCCCATGCTGTGCTGCTTTGAGTTGCTCCAACAGTCTTCCCAAAGCTCTCTTCCTCCAAAGAGATCACTTGTGATCCTGTATGTGCAGTCAGCAGCCTGGCCACTGGTTCGTGTGATCATTCACAGAGCTCTCCATAAAAGAAGAGTAAGTGGCAAGTAAACACTGAATTTTGGCACTCAGTCTGGGGTGAAAAAACAGTGTTTATCTTTGACACAATGTCTCCCCAAAACTAGTCTATGTGTTTAGCTCAAGTACAATTTTTTGCCTTTAGGAACAAATAGTACGAGGGATGCTGTCCTACCCGCTTTTAGTGAAGTTTGTTTGTTGTGGTATGCTAGTTGAGGTACTTATTCTAGCTTTACCTGTGCTGTACCTTCAACAAATATGTTGAAGGTGCGATAAACTAGGAAAGAACTTTAATAATTCTTTTAAGAGTATAATACTGGTTGCCTGATGAGGAGCGCCTACATTTAGATGCTGAGATGTCGGTGCCCACGTGTGAATGAAGGGTCCAATTCAACAGCCCGCATACAGGCGCTGAGTGCTGTGTGGGGTACTCCGATGGACCCTGCTTGGCTTCACTATCGCCGTGTGTCAGTGCTGTTTAGATGCCGTAGACAACCCCAGGCCTCTCACGTGGCATGAAATACCTATACGTAGGCACTGACTTGTGCACTAGGTGTCTAGTCTCTCACTATAGCAAATGGTTTGATGGTTCTTCATCCACGGGATTGCATTTTAGGCACCAGAGAGATTGTCTGGTGTTCCTGGTGCCCTGGTAATCTTCTGCCTGTGCTTGGGGTGAGAATACTCTCAGATATGTTTTCCAGATGTGTTTTGAGGCTGTAATTTTGAACCCACACATTGTTCTTGCCAATGCGTTTTTGCAAAGTGCTGCCCCTTGGTGTAATTTTGACACTCTGCCCTGTTTTAAATTGCTGTACATCTGTTTTAAAATACAATACCATATATCTGTTTTAAATACCACACTATCTAGCCCTCACTGTCAGACCCAGGTTCTTTCTCTCACCTTATCCCACCAGTACCTTGTCTGTGTGAATGGTCCCAGTCCTGTTTACTGCCAGTCCCCAACAGCTTGCTGTACTGACAGGCTCCTGGTAAATGCTAGCATAGAGTGGCAGATGTGTACAAATGTATATATGTTAAGATATGAAATATGTTAAGATGTGTTTAAGGTGTATTTGGGGCCACTTGTAGCATAGGCTGTAGGCATACCTGTTGTTACCTCTTAAACGTAGTGTGTGTATGTTATCTTTGCTTTCAAATTAGTTTTCTTTCCTGTTCTGGCAAGAATACACTAGTAGAAGAGCTTTGCATGAAATCTGCTTTTTTTTTTCCCCCCTTATTTAATTACACGCTCTCCCTAAATCAGCTGAATTGTCTGCAATGAGTTACATCAGAAAAAATCTATCTATGAATTTTTTAAGGCATTCTTGTTTTCAGGGATTTTGTAATCGGTTAGTGGATCAGAAAAAGATCATTTAAAGATCTGAGAGACGCAGGAGATGAATAGCTTTTAAGTATCTGTTGCAATTAGCTAAAGTGAGTCCATCTAGTCAGTGTGTGTTTTATAATTTAACAAAGCTTTTAATATGTTGGCAACGGAAAGATTTATATTTATACCTCTCTCACCTTCCTCTAATTTGGAGTTCATGGTTAACAACTTAAAATGTTGCTAACTCTATTAATAATCAAGAATACTTTATATTTAGTCATTTTCATATAAGAAATATCACCATATTTCAAAAAAACCCAAGCTGTTTTCTGCTTCACTTTTTCCATAAATGTACACGTTTTGTTTTTTTTACTGTGAGAAACAAGTAATCTCATTCTAACTTTTAAAAAAATATTTTTAAATTTCTCTTTGATCACTTTATTCTTTTTTAATAGATGTTAATTTTTATGCCCTTTATTAGTTCTGACTTTGTGAAACCAGAAAAACAGAACTATAGTGAAAACATCCAGAGTAGTCAAAATCCAGGATGGACAAGATACAGACAATGGGATTGATGATCTTGTGTTCGGGCCCACTTTCAAGATGTTTAGATAAGCTCACTCACAAACTTTTATCCTGGCACCCCTTGTTTCACGTGCATTTTAAAGTGCCTGTTATAATACATGAAAATTAGAAACTTTGGGTAAATTATTCCAGCTAAAGAAGAAATTTATTATAATGTAGTAAGAAGAGACAGATGAAAAATACATCCTTCACTGAGTAGCAATGCATGCAATCTGGTTAATTTTATGTTTTCCATGACCTTTTCATGTTGATTTTTAACCTTTTAATTTGGTTGATATTTCATAAACAGGCCATGGATACCATTCGCCTTCAAAACATTGCTTTTAGTTTCCAGAAACTGCTAGTTTTGAGTTACTTTACTGCATACACTGTGGGGGAATAGCTTTTCTTAGGCAGAATGTTACAATCATCGTTGGCTGTTGCAACACCCTCACCACATTTGGAAAGCTGCAAATGTGTTGGTGGCTTGGGGGTTTTTGTTTGTTTGTTTTGGGGGGTGTTTTTGGGTTTGCGTGGTGGTGGGGTTTTTTTTCAAGTAATCTCAGGGCAGGTATAGAAGAGCAGCATTTCAGGGGCAGTAGGTTGGTGTTTAGGTAGCAGTTCAGAAGAGACTAACATTGATTTGTGTGTTTGGGAAAAGGTCTGTTCTTACTGATTTAGAGAGTTTTCCTGCTCGTGACCGCTCTTGTTCAGTAAGGGAGAATTCGCTGTAGGAAATTGTTGCAGCCTCTTTATTAAAGAAAAGGAGGAAAAAAAAAAATTTATTTAGTCACCTTTGAAGTTATATTGAGAATAGTAATCAGTGGGGAGAAGTCATGGAAGGATAACGGAAAAATCTTTGATTTGCTGTAACTATCTGTGCAGGGACACATATGCCTGTGAAGCCAGAGTGAGATGAAAGAATAATTCTAAATAAAATGGAAGTGTTCAACATTAGTAAAATGTAGGTATTGACAATTATGAAGAATGATGTCTGTCTCTTAACTGAAAGACTTGTTTTGAGTTCTTAATCTATGTTTGTATTTTTACACACTGATGTCCCTGTTGTATCAACTGACGATTCCACAGACCTTTAACTAGACCTTGGTGTATTTGGTATGTTATCATCATAACAAATGTATTGCAGATACTGAACTTGGGTCTTCAAAGATGAGGAAAAAAAATTAATCCCTTAAAGTGAAGTTGTAATTGAGTCTACAAGTTTGTTAAGGATTTCAGAACAAACTCTGAATATCTACATAATATAGAACATTATATTTAAAGTAGAAAAGCACAGATTTTTTTCCTTATGGTTTTTCCCCAACTTATTTGTGCATACAATACAGATAAGGCAGAGCTGAATTTGGAGGGTTTGCATGAAGGATTTCAGTATGTGTAAGAAACTGCTAACATAGCTTAAACGGTGATATAGATTTCTCTGAGACACTAATAATGATGATTCATTGTATCACATTCCTTAACGATCATGCACTTTTGGCGAGGCTTGTGAGTCCTTTTGTTCAAATAACACATTGATGACGCTTGCAGAGAATCACAATGAATGAATACATGCGTTTTAAGACACTTCACTGTAGAGTCAGCGTAAGCTGTCCTTGCAAGGAGAACCTCACTGGGTGAGATATCTTGGCAGAGAGAAGGTGATACTTAGCAAGAACCGCTACAGGACTCCCAGTCTGGCAGCTCACCAAGAACGCATCTCTTCTGGGGCAGCTTTGCTCTGAGGACAAGGTCTCTTTGCATGCTATGTGGACATTAATCTTCGACTGGTGATAGTATTAGGTCAGGGAAGGAAGAAGAAAAAAAAAAAAAAAAGTCAGTGGAACAGGGGCAGCCGACAGCGGTACTGGGACCAGGAGGCAGAAGGCAGGTGCTGCCTGTTCTGGTGTCCTGCCAGAAAGAAGCTGGGCCACCAATTCCAGGATGACTTCAAAGAAGAAAAGGCATCAGCGGAAGATGGAAAAAAAAAATCAGAACTGAAGCAGCTGGGTAAGAGGCAAACTGCTGTCTTTAATTTTGTGGAATGTTTGACAAAATAAGGGACGCTTTTGCCTGTTTTTTTGACCTGTTTCTCACCAGCAGTGAATATGCTGTGGGGTGGTCTTTTCACGCACACTGTCTTTTGAGGGCAGAGGACCCTGTATTTCACAATTGCCAGTGT